GCATCCCCCAGGGGTGCTGCACCCCTCCCCTGGCTCCTACCAGGCCGGAGCAACCAGCTGCCTCCTCCTGGCTCTCGGGGGCGTATTTGGGGTCGGCCCCCAGCACCGCAGGCTCCTTGTTCTCAAAGATGGTCGAATAGAAGATGATGAGAGCCTCAATGATGCGAGCTTGGTGGGGATAATCAACCAGCGAGGACAAGGAGATCGTGGCATCTGTGGGCCTTGGGCGCATCAGTGTTGGCCCAAAGACGATGCCCAGGTTGCTTGAGGTCATCTTGTTGTCCTGTTCCACTTCCACGATCCTGGGGAGGAGGAGGAGGAGGAGGAGGAGGAGGAAGAACTCGTGAGAGCGAGCAGGGAGAAGGGAGGGGTGGGCGGGCAGGGCTCGCCCAGCCTGGCGCACCCAGGCCGGAGGAGGAGCCGGGCTGGCAGCGCAGGAGCCCCCACCCGTGGCGCACACGAAACTCCGTGGGCAGCTGTGGCCATGGATCAACCTCCCCGCTCCTGGGACGGGCTGGGCTGGCCCCACCGCCCGCGCCGTGTGTAACGAATGTGTAAATGTTCTATGCTCTAGGGAAGCGGGGGCAGGCGCCCCAGCACCGCGCGGCCCTTCTGACCTCCTCAGGTGCTGCAGGAGGTACTGGAGCGTGGCCATGTTCTCCCAGGGAAGCTCCTTCAGCAGTTCCTTCAGCTTCAGCACCAGGTTCACCACCACCTTGTCCGTGTCGGCTCCTTTGTCCGCCAGCTCCGGGCCCCCCTTCCCGCTCTTGCCCTTGGCCTCGCTGCCCTGCAAGCTCTCCTTGGCCAGGCCCATCAGCTCGTTGTACATGCGGAACGGCATAATGGGCTCGGGCAGCTGCAAGCAAGAACGGGGAGGTGGGTGCTGGGGAGCCGGGGGGGGAGGCTCACCCCCTCCCTGAGACCTAGACCCGTCCCCTGCTGCTGAGCCGAGGGAACCCGGGGCCTTTCTACAGCGAGGAGACATCCCGGTGCTCCGAGCCCGGCTGCCCAGGGGCGACGGCTCTTTATCCATCCCCTGAAGCCCCCCCTGTCCTGGACAGCTAGGGTGCAGGCAAAAAGCAGCGTTTGATCAACCCTTGGGTGCTCTCTGCTGCCCAGGCCCCTCGGGTCACGGTTAAGGGGTTCTCTGGTCCCCCTGGAGGAGCCCTGGCCCGGGGGGGGCAGAGCAGGCGGTCGCCCAGCGCAGAGGAGGGGGCTGGGAAGGGGAACGGCTTGTCCCGGGGTGGAGAGGCCGGACGGAATTGGCGCAGCCTGCAGTGAAGGTGGGACTGCGCTTGGGTGGAAACTCTTGCTTTGAAGCGTGTCTAGATTAGCCAGAGCAGCTCGGTAACTAATTGGTGGTTTTGCATGGCTGGGGATGGTTTCAGAGTGGCTTAAACAGATGGTTTTGGGGACAGGCTGCCTCTCACAGCACAGCAGGATCCCTCCAGGTCAGCACTTTACGGAGACTTTAAACCCATTTCTCTGCAAGTAGATGCTGGATCGTGGCTCAGGACTGATTTCTCCTGCTCTTTCCACTCTGCTTTTCTCTGGAGAAACCGTGGAAGCAACGCAGAGCCCCTCTCTCCTCTGTGCAGGGGACCGAGGGCCAAGCCTCCCCCTTGAGCCCGATCCCGGGTGTAACTGCGCAGCAAAAGGCTGCGCTGAGGAGTTCAGCGGTGAAGCAGAAGCTGCTCCCGCTCCTCCTGCCTCGTGGTGGCTGCTCGGAGGGTGTGGGTGACGCTGCTGTTGGCACTTGCTGTTTGCCAGTTGGGGTACTGGACTCTGCTGGGGGCAGAGGGGGCCAGGGCTGCTGCGGGTGGCCCGAGGGGCCCAGCGCCCATCTGAGCCCCCCGCAGGGTGCCCTGAGGGGAACAGCTCTGCTCCGGGAGCTCAGCCCTGGTGCAGAGCGTCCTTCGCTGCATCACTTCCCTTTTCATCTGCTGGTTCCCCAACTGCGGAGGGGAGGGAGGGTTTGGTGCTTCCGCACGTTGTTTTTCTGCCGGTGCCGCCGCGGCGGAGGGGCCGGGCGAGGGCTCACCACGAGCAGGAAACCCGCGGTCGGCTCGGAGGAGGCGCAGTGTGGGTGCTCTGCCCCGCTCCTGCACACGGTCCCAGCTCCGCCGCTGATCCTCTCCCGCCCGGGAAGGGCCCCACTACCCACCCAGAGTTTTTAAGCCCAGTTGGTGCAGAATTACTCCCGCCAGAGACGACTCGGTGAAGCCACGTTTGGTTTCGGGAAGTCAGTTCCTGTGGCCACCTCCCCCCGGCCCCCCCAGCAGCACTTCACCTGTCTCAGGTAGAGCTTCAAGACATTGCTGATGTCGTGAGGGGAGGCCTGGGACAGCTCCACCAGCTCTTTCCCGTTCTCAAAGGCTTGGCAAAGCTTCTCCACCCGGGTCTTGACACCATTAACTCGGTAGATGCCCTGTGAAAGGGAGAAAACTGGAGTTGAAGTGAGATGTTTCTCTTCAGGTTTGCACAGGACCGAGCTCCTGAGTCCCACTCTCTCCCTTCGGGTTGGAAATCCCTCTCAGCAGCCACGCTGGGACATCCCCTTCCAGCTCAGACGCCGCTGTCATTCCTGTCTCCTAGGAAAGAGGGAGGCCAGAGACATGACTCTCCAACGTCAGAGTTTGGGCTGTTGGGGCCAAGTTCATCACCAGGGACTTTCTGGCTTCCTGCCTCCAGTAATCTGAAAACTGAGTCTGTTGGTTTTCACGCCAAGGCAGATCATTTCAAGAGAAGGCAGCGGAGCCGGCTCAGCTGAAGAAGAGGGAAGAGAGAGTGCGTCACCTTGGTTTTCAGTGCCCGCTTCTCGATCTCCGAAATGCATTTCTTGATGATGAAGGGGATCCCGTCTGAGCTGCTCTGAGAAGCCTTGGTGAAGTCTTGCCCAAAAAGCTGCAGCTTCCCTTGGAGTTTCTTGTGCCCACATTGGATGGCCAAGGTCTCCAGGCACTTCTTGTGGCAGGCCAGGTAGCACTGGAAAACACGGGGAAAGGCACAGTGGGGACAGCCCCGGGGGCAGGTGGGGGCAGCCCCGGGGGGCACCAGGCATCTCTCAGAGACTGAGATGCTCGCTGAGCACGACGACAGATGGGAGCCTGGGGATGCTGCAGGGCCCCAGCATCGCGCAGAGCCCTCCCCAGAGGAGGACAGTCTTCCTAAACACGGGTGAGAGCCAGGCTCAAGTAGTCCTGCCCCAGAGGCTGTGCTGGCACCTCTGCCTCCACAGAGAACTCCCGGCCGTGGTCACCCTCCTGCTCTTGCCCACATGTGTCCCAGCTCCGGGCTGGGTTCTGCAGCAAACCCCTGACACTCGGTGACGAGCCGCCCCGCAGTGTCACAGGACCGCACGCGGGGAGAGCCGAGCTCACCCCATTCACAGGACACAAACTCCATCCGTCCCACCCACCGAGCTCTCTTCCCGCTTCTCCCGACTTTACCTCCTCGCATTCTGCTCCCTGGAAGTAAACGTAGCTGTTGCACTCCCGGCACTTGGAAGGGGCGCGGAGCTTCCTTAGCCGATGGGTCTGGGCAGCCTTGGACAAGCCGACGTTCCGGAAGGGCCCCGTTGGAGCTGTCATCTCCGGGGTGATGCCATTGATACCTATGAGCAGAACAGGAAGAAATGTGTCTGCATCCCGGCTCCTGAGGAGGTGAAGTTAAGCAAAGCAGGAGGGACACGGCTCCAGAGTAAACAGCTGGATGCCCCAGGGCTTCAGCAACGCTACGAATATCCGGGACACTGAGGCAGCCCTTCCCTCGGTCCAGGCAATGCTCCTCATTGGTCACGTCTCCTCCCAGCAATTGTTCCATTTACCCCCAGAACTACTGAATTTGGGGAAAGTCAACCTGCAGTTAGCTTTGCCATGGTGTGTGGGTGCAGAGCAGGAGCACAGCATCACCCGCGCCGGCACGTACTCTGCTCAAAGGGGGTGGTGGTCTCATCCTTCTCCTCCAGCTCTTCGCTGGACGACATGGTCCCGTTGGACGACAGCCGCTGCAGCTTGTGGCTGAATTCACCTGGCGAAAGAAAACCCACAAGCTGGTGAGATCACTGGGAAAGTTTTTTAACTTCTGAGTGCGCCCTGATGCACGTGGCCGATGCCCACAGCACCCAGCCGTGTGCCTTGTGCGGCGGGGGCAGCTCCCCGAGAAAATGAGGAACCGGGAGCTGCCAGGGGCTGCGTGGGGGGGCAGGCTCCAGCCCTGCAGCACAAAGATTTGGGGGTCCCTCATCCCACCCCGCCCCATCCCAGGCAGGGCGAGGACTGCCGGCCCTGCGCTGGTTTCGGTACCCACCTGCATTTGAATCCAGGCTGCCGTCAGCTTCAGAAATGGAGGTCGGCCAGGATTTGTGGACCTGGTGTCCCCTCCCACCTGCAGCAGAAAACACACAGTCCATTTGAGATTCCTTCCTGCGCTCGGGAGAGAATCAGGGGAGAACAGCCTGGGCCCAGGGAGACACTGAAATTACTGAAGGAAGCTGCTTGGTTTGATGGGCTGGTGGGTTGTGATGGGAGAGAAGAGCTGGGAAGATGGAGAAAGGTCTGTTAGGCAGCACTAGACAGCAAAAGCAGAAAAAATCCCCATAGATCTGATTTTGTGTCCTTCAGGAAATTTGGCTCGCCAGGCTTCAGCCGCCCGCGGTAGCTGCCGAGGTGCTGCTTTGCTCCCACCCGGGGCAGGACGCAGCCGCCGGGGCCGGGGCCGCTCTGCTCCGTGCTCACCTCTCCGCTCGGCCGCCACTGCCCCGCTCTGCTCCTTGGGTCCTGCCCCTCCTTCTGCCCCCGGCCCATCCTTGGGCAGCGCCGCCCCCTCGGAGCTG